TATCTCCAATCCAAACGGGACCAGCAGGACCCTGATTTTGCATATTTTAGTGTTCCTCAGTGATGAGTATGCGTGCAAATGCACTAATTCGTCGCTTCCGTCATCGACAACCCGGACAGAGTTCGGCTGTGCTGAAGACAATACGTTCGAAAAATGGCAATATGCGTCTAAGGATTGTTCCAAAGGGCGATCAAGTTGAAGGTAAGGGATCCACGGTGAATAAAACAGTTAGTGGCTACTCTACAGCCACAGCGGCCCTTTTGCACCCACATACCGTACTACCGTAAAGCGGTCTGTCGCCTTGGATTCTTTGAAGGATAGTAGCACCCTTTGCTGACATGAGATACTGCCATGTAAATCGCGCGGAGTACGGTAGCATACTGAAGTGGTGCAAAAAAGGCCACCACTCCTTACAAGAGTCTTAATGAAAAGAAATCGTATTTAATAATTGATAATTGTACTTTCTGACATGATGAGCTACACGGTAAGTCGAACGAAATACTGTAGTGGTGCAAAAAGGGCCGCCACTCGTTAAAAGTTCTGAAACGATTCGTACCTCATAAGAAATGTGCTCTTTTCCTGTGAATACCATCAAATTTTAAATTTGACTCATCTGATCCACTCTGCAACCTTCATTTTCCAGAAGGCACCACGATCACGTACACGGACGAGTCGTCTGCACGCGCATATGTGGTCTCGTCCACCCTCTCCGGTTCTATGTCCGAATCCTCATCACCATCTCTCCCTACCAGCCCTCCACTTCTACCTCCTACCGCTTCACCACCACTACTTCCAGGAAATCAGGAAATCCTCATGGAATACCTCCAACAAATGCTGCAAGCAAAGTGAGTAACTCGTACATTTGCAGACAAAAACTCGTACAAATGCTCCATATTTCTACTATAACTAATTTTTAGGCTCCTTGCCGATCTGCTCGCGCAACAAGCAGCCGCATCCATGAATCTTACGAAGTCCGTTGCTGCTTCACCAGAGCCCCCTATTTCCCCACTTTTGGCCCAAACCCTCCTACTCTCTCAGCTTCAACCTCTCCAGCAATTTCTACCGATTCTCTAGCTTAGTCCGCTCCTTAGTCTATTTATACTAATCAGCCGATCAGCATCATTACAGTGTCCTGATAAGGCAATTGTGATCTCTTACTAGTTTTTTTGTGCTGTACAGTATTATGCGATTAGGGTGTTTTTTTTTTCAATTTGAAATAAATTTTCGCACTTGAAAATTGTACAGTACATAATCTCACATGTCGATAAAGTCAATCTTCATTATTGTATCAACAGCTACAACAGTATGAGACAAGAAATCTAAAAATATTTATAGTTCAAACTTACAATGAGCAATACAATGAGTTAAATGCGTAAAAACATACTGAGCAAGGAAGATTGATGATGGTCTCAAAGACAAACAAAAAACAAAATCTATAGGGTATTTTACACTTTGAAACGGAGTGCTAAAATCCTCAGGACATGAGCGACAATAAAGAAGATCTCAATTAAACTGCAAAAAATGTGGCTACAGTACCGCGCAGAGTTCAAAAATAAGATAAGGGGTAGGGATAGCATTTTTACAGTTACATCTTGATCACTAAAAATTATGACCAAGGAACATTTCTAAAACCACTACGTGAAATTAGAAAGTAAAGTTTGGCACTACAAAAAATTTGCAATTCTTGTTTCAGCTGAAATGAAAAAA